CCAAACCAGTACTTTCCTATATCCCTCCTGAATCTGAATTTTTCCAACTTAAAACCATTGCTGCGAGTCCTGTCTAGGCTAGATATTTTCAGCACACTATTTACATCCCCTTTATTTATTCCTGTCTTCCACTTATAAACCTCAATCATATCCCCCCTAATTCTACGTCTTTCTAGAGAGTGCAGTTTCAGGGCCCTTAGTCTATCCTCATAGGGAAGGTTTCTGATACATGGGATCATCTTTGTCATCCTCCTTGTACATTTTCCAGAGAATTTATATCCATTCTGTAATACGGTGACCAAAACTGTGCAGCATAATCTAAATGAGGCCTAACCAAGGATGTATAGAGTTGAAGAACAACCTGAGGACTCCTATTATTTATGCTTCTTGATATGAAGCCAAGGATTCTATTAGCTTTATTGCGAACACTTATGCACTGTTGTCTTGGTTTCAGATTACTGCTAACCAGAACTCCTAAATCTTTTTCGCAATCCGTAATATTAAGATCTACATTATTTAGTTTATATGTGGCATGGTTATTGTCCTGTCCAACATTTTGAACTTTGCATTTGTCTATATTAAACTGCATCTGCCACTTCTCCGACCACTGCATCAGTCTATTCAAATCCTCCTGGAGTGCTCGAATGTCCTCGTCAGAATGAATTCGACGGCCTATTTTGGTGTCATCGGCAAACTTGCCGATGTCGCTCTTTATGCCCTCATCTATGTCGTTTATTGTAGATTGTGAACAGCAGGGGGCCCAACACTGACCCCTGTGGAACACCGCTCGTGACGCTTCCCACTCTGATTTCTCCCCATTTATGCAAACTCTCTGCTGCCTATTTGTCAACCATGCCTCTATCCAGGAAAAAATTTCTCCTCCTATTCCATGTGCTTTAATTTTCCTCAATAGTCTCTGATGTGGGACCCTGTCAAAACCCTTTAAACTGAAGTCCATATACACAATATCATATTCATTACCATGATCTACCTCCTCAAATACCTTAGTGAAAAAAGTTAATAAATTCGTAAGGCAGGAACGCCCCTTTGTAAAACCATGCTGAGATTCGTTGATTAATTTATGCTTTTCAAGGTGGCTACGAACTGCCTCGGAAATTATTGATTCCATAAATTTTCCCACTATGGAGGTTAGGCTTATTGGTCTATAGTTCGAAGCTAAGGACCTGTCACCTGTTTTGAAAATAGGTATCACATTTGCCATTTTCCACTTATCTGGCACCATGCCAGTTTGTAGTGATATGTTGAAAAGATTAGCCAAAGGTGTGCTAAGCTCCTCTTTACATTCCTTTAGAACCCTTGCATACAGTTCATCAGGGCCTGGGGATTTGTTAGGTTTTAATTTATCTATTTGCCTAAGGACCATGTCACTTGTGACCCTAATAGTGCACAGTTTATTATCGTCCTGTTCTACATAATTTATCATTACTGGAATATCGCTGGTATCCTCCTGTGTAAAAACTGAGAGGAAGTATGTGTTAAAAATTCTACACATTCCTTATCACTGTCAGTGAGCTGACCCGAGGAACTTTTGAGTGGGCCTATCTTGTCCCTGATCTTACTTCTGTATACCTGAAAGAATCCTTTTGGGGTTAGTCTTCGATTCTCTTGCAACTTTAACCTCATAATCTCTATTTGCTTTTCTAATTCCCTTTTTTATTTCTCTCTTTAACTGAATATATCGATTTCTTAATTGCCCCTCTCCTCTTTTGATTTGCCTATATATGCCTCTCTTTTGACCAATCAGATATTTTAATCTATTGTTCATCCATTTAGGATCATTTTGTTTGATCTGATTTCCCTATTTGGAACATAATTTGACTGAGCAGCTAGAACTATGCCCTGGAAAGCATCATATCGGCAACCATCACCACCTACCTGACCCCTAGTCAGGTCATTCCAGTTCAGCCCACCTAAGTAATTTTTCAGTCCTATGAAATCAGCCAAGCGAAAGTCAGGGACGGAGACTTGATTTGCCATTATTAGGGGAATTCCATGATATGTTAAAACTGAGTGATTTGTGATCACTCTCCCAAGCTCATCATTAACCTCAAGATTATTAATTAGTGTTTCCCTACTGGCAAGAACCAAGTCAAGGAGGTTATTTCCCCTAGTTGGCTCTGTCACAAACTGTTTTAAAAAACAATCCTGGATCGTATCAAGAAAGTCACCCGACTCTAAATTTCCTGTCAAATTGCTCCAGTCAATCTGTCTATAGTTGAAATCTCCCATTAGCACAACATTTTCGTATGTAGATGCCTTACGAATTTCGTCCCATAGAAGTTTACTGCACTCCCTATCAAGATTTGGGGCCCTGTAAATCACACCCAAAATTAGTTTTTCTCGGCCCTCGAGAAGCTGTAACCAAACAGATTCAGTGGCTGACGCTTCTAATTTAATATCTTGTCTAACACAACAATTTAAATTGTCTCTGACATACATCGCTACTCCACCACCTTTCCTGTTGACCCTGTCAGTGTGGAATAATTTATAGCCTTGTATGTGACATTCAGAGGGCATCTCTCTATCTTTCAGATTGAGCCAGGTCTCTGTTATAGCAATAATATCTATGTTTCCTGCACTTGCAATTAATCTTAGCTCATCTATCTTATTTCTAACACTCCTGCTATTAGTATAGTAAACCTTAAGGGAGCTAGTCCCTTGCTGCCCTCTGCTGTCCCCCTTTGTTTGCTGACCTGTTCTATTGTCTTTATTTATAACTTCATGCTGAATGCCTTTTATACATTTACTGTTTCCAACCCTAGTGTTGCAACCTGCTTGTTTCCCACACACACCCATACCTCTCCAACCTCTCATCCTTGTGATTTTCTTCAAAGATGACTTAGTAGAGGCTGGCAAGTAAGAAGCAAGAGTGGCGAAGATTTTGGGAAGGATGAAGCAAGGATTAGTATTGTTAGGGACACACGAGAGCTTAGTGGGGGGACCGGGATGGTGTCAAGGTTTGTAGACGACTGGTGAGCGGCAGTAGACATACTAACGTAGGGAAATGGAAGAGGCAAAAGTTATAGGTGGGAGGGAAGGTTGTGAAGGGAAGATTAAAGAAACGGAATGGATAAGTCGTGTTTAGTGGTTGTTCTTCACTGTTCACATAGTTGTTCATTGGTCACAAATAATCCGCACACAGACTAAAATGGTCAAAGTCGGACCGAAATGTCGTCATAAGCTTCAGTCTCCTGCGGGTTATTTGTGTATTGTTCCAGTCATGGTATTGTACCATTTTATTCTTTATTAACTAGTAGATTGTGCAGGAGTCGAGTTATAGCTCCTGGTCCCGCAAAAACGATGTAGAAGCCTCCATTAGCTTTACCTGTTGGTGTCTGCCCAGGTGGTATGTATGCTTTTTCCCTATCCTCAGCTCCTTTCCTCCCTTCCCCTTCTCCAATACGCCAATCCCCTTCACATTCCTTCTCCCTCATCCTACACCTCTCCCATTTCCCTTCCCTCCGTTCTTCCCCCCCCCCACTCCCTCCTCCCTCTCTTCGTCGCCAGGTTTACACTAAAGTGTTTATTGATTCACTAACGCACCGTCAACAACTCCAATACCCAGAGTCAAGAGGCATTCTGACATACTTGTCGATTTACATAAGAAGCAGTGAAAAGAAAGATAAGGGTCGAGCATGAAAAATAAGAGAAGACTACAGAAATGCATGGCTCATAACTTTAGAATACCCTCTTAAGAAAATTTATCAGTTAATAATTCTGGGATCGTCAACCCTGGAGATTGGTCTCAGACCAGGCCTACCAGGTTGGGAAAAAAAAGAATAATGGATTAAAAACTATTAAAGAACACGCAGGAAAGTAATGTGGATAGTGAACGCAAGGTACTAACAAATGAACAGAAAAAAATGTCAATACCGAGGCTGGAACTAGGACGTCAAGAGTATCGGCGAGTATCGGCTAATTTTGTTATGGGTATCGGCCCATGTATAGTATCGTGCCATCCTTGTCTGGAATAATTCACAACTAATCCACAATCTGGAGAAATAACTTGAGATAGGTCGATAATGGTCATGAACGGATAGAAACTTTGTTTACAGTTTCCTCTCCAAATTGTGGGTTACCTGTGAATTACCAACACATCTCTCAAGAGTGAACTTTATACAACCCTTCTTTAACCCATCACTGATGGCCGGGCTGCAGTATTTACGTCACTCAGCGAGCTAGCTGTCAGAACCAACTGCTTGATTTGTCAGGAAGAAAATAAGGGATGAGTAGAGTCGGGCACACTCGAGTCCACTCATCTTTCCTGGACTGCCCCTTCCTTCAACTACCATACTGAAGAGGTAGTAATTCCACTGTTCAAATAATTTAAATCTTCTGGAAGGAAACCGCTGAAGCAGTAGAAGCCACTGAACCCTTTGTGAAGCGCTTAACGATATCCCTGTTGTCCTACCCAGTACGGGTAGGACACCTAGAAGTACAGAGGTGCCTGGGTGTTAGCCGACTGGTGTGGGTCGCATCCTGAGGACAAAATTAACCTAATTTGCCCGAAATGCTCTGCTTAACTAGTACTAGTACTGGGGCCTCCCAGCTCAAGCAGGGAGACCCTAGTAATAACGGAGTATAGTACAGAAACATGGTTACATAGTATGAAGAGAATCTAGCTATCAGAGAGTGAGTTAGCAGTACACTGCTGATATACCAAATTTTAGATATAACATGTTAAAGTCATTTGGTACAACGGTACGGAGACGAACACAAGGACGTGTCACAATGGTACGAGGAGGCTCACACAAGGGCGAGTCACAAGACTAAGGGAAGATAAGGGTGGTTTACACTGGTACAAGGGGGAGGGGAACAAAGGTGAGTCACGATGGAACAAGGGGACACATGAATGAGTCACAACGATACGAGGAAAAACAAGTGAGTCACAGTGGTACGTGGAGGGAAGTATGTATCACAATGGTAGTAAGGAACTGATACAAAAATGGACCACAGCAATACAAAAAAAAAGTACTTACGCCTCGCAGTATGGAAGTTTGTTGTATCCCTTGTAGGTCTTCATGCTGAGGGTCATGGCACATTCCTGACACTTGAAGCACCCCTTGTGCCAAATCTGCGAACGAAAAGTCAAAATCAGGTCACTAGGGATACAATGGTTAGAGAATCACACTGAAGTCGCACAAGACCACAATGAAGAGCTGCCTACCTTGGTAATGTAATAAATAATGCAAGTCGTTATATTTAAAGTAGATAAATATACATTTGCATGCACTAAAAACACCCTAGTTTACACAATATCAACTAACGGTTGATAATAACACAGTAACACAGGGCTCTGTATTTTGCCGTCGTAGCGCCTAGTTTATTATGCACCCCACAATCATTCTGTGGATGACAGAACGAGAGCAAGGGATATAGTGAGAGCAATGAATATACGAAGGCCTACTAATCACGCAGTAAGACAGTTAACAGAAGTTACATGAATGAACATCTGTACATATTCGTGTATTGTCAGTCTTTTTATTACAATTAAGTAGACATTTAAAAACAGTATAGAAGAACGTGAATATGGAGTTGAACTCACAGCTTACGAGCAGTTCGATCAGCGTGTGCACAGTAAATGCTTATAATTAAATGCATAAAATGAAACCCAAAGTTACTGTAAATTTAATAAAT